GATGGTGGAGGCCTGAGCTGAGAGAGACAGCACCCACCTCACCACTGTGCCCACTCCGGTGAGAGAGACAGCACCCACCTCACCACTGTGCCCACTCCGGTGGAGTGGCAGAAATGGAGATGCAGACAAACGAACCTTGGGCACTAATTGCTTGGAACCATCTCTGTGTGAAGAGGGTCCGTCTGGTAGCTGGCCTAGTTGCAGGTGCACTGGGACAGAGACGGCTGGGAGTCTCCCTAAAGCGTCAGGGAGAAGGTGAGAGTCAAACACGAAGAGGAGCATGTGGGTAACAGTCTGACAAGGTGCGCAAAGGCGAGAGTGTAAGAGAACTGCGGTGACTGAGGCAGCGTTCCTACTGCACAGGTGCGCAGGTGGCACGGCAGGAGGAATGGCGGCTCAGTTCTCCATGCGAGACAGCCTGCAGGGCAGTGCCCTGCCACCCCAGAAGTCGGCATCGAAGCTCTGGTGTCCTGTAGAGAGACGCTGGGTTTTAATTGAATGGAGTCATTTTTGTAGATCAAAAACTGTCAAGTATTTGGCAATCTCATATGGCTCATCTAAACATTTTTAGTTACACTTCTCATCAGTGTTCCTGATACATTTTCTGTAGCAATCTGTTTACTCAATTCATCTTATCTGTCTTCGAGTAACCAGTCTGTGTGATAGCTCACTCACTCTCACTCACATTTTTTTAAACTTTTCTGTCTCTAGAAAGACTAGGCAAAGCTACATGTGATGGAATCATGATGTCCAACTAATTCCAATCTGTTATTTTAATGAATACATTAAAGAGCAATAACTTAAAATAATTAATAAACCACCCAATACTGCAATGCCAAATTAATGCTCAGATAAATTAGATAATAAAGCCAATTACTCATTTATTACACGAACATTTATAGGCATCACATAATATATCAAATATAATTAAATTTTTTAGAGATGAATGTTAAGCCGAATTATTCTAATACAAATGTATACAAACCATTAATATATTATAAAATGTGCCATTAATTCAGGACAAATTAAAATTTTAAATTGAATAATATTTTTGGTTGTTTTAAAGGAGACTGCCACAGGCAGACCTTGTCAGTAGCATCGTCATCACATCTGCAGGAAGTCTTTGCTCAGTCCAGCAGCTGAAAAATAATGGCAGAGAAGTGCGAGGGAAAAATCCCAGCCAAATGCTCCCCGAGATTCCCTCGTTACCAAACCTCACTCCTACGTTGATAATTCAGAAGAAATGTGCACGCATGCGCGCGCGCATGTGTGTGCGTGTGTGTATCTCCATTTTTTTAAGAGTTAGAGGTATAAAAATACAGAGATAGAGAATTCATGCCTGCTGATCTATTCCAACATGACTAGAATGGCCAGAGCCAGAACCTGGAAACTCAGACCACAACCCCTCAGTGGGACGTGAGCCTCCCAGAGTTTGCATCAGCGCAAAGCTGGAGTCAGGGGCCAGACACTGACGTGGGACGGCGTGTTGGAGTCAGGGGCCAGACACTGACGTGGGACGGCGTGCTGGAGTCAGGGGCCAGACACTGACGTGCGACGGCGCGCTGGAGTCCGGGGCCAGACACTGACGTGGGACGGCGTGTTAGCCGCTGGGCTGCATGCCCGCTCGGGAGAGAGGTTTCAGCCAGCCTCGTTCTTCCTCCAGGCGCTTTCATCTCTTACTGATAACAGACTGGCGCTTGCCTCAGAGACAAGTTGTAATGTTGTCCGTGAGGTCTTCTGTTCCATCATTCTCGTGTGGCAGGAGACCAGATGCCATGACCGAATCAACGTCAACGCTTATTCTATTCGTATTCTAGTGTTTTACTCGTCCAACACACATGAAGTAGAAGCAGGCATTCCCAGCTGCGGGTTTAATGACACTGAAGTGAAGGTGGGAAATCTTTGAGGATTTTATCACAATAATGTTAGGCAGTAGTGGCATTTTGTGTGTAGGGATCAAGGATGTAAATATTCCAAAAGGATCCCTGAGCTGAAGCTTCAGAGGCACCATCAAGCCATGTTTTGATACTTCCTTTGTGGCAGAACAAAAGCCGTGTGAGATACAGAGGGACTGGTTTTGGACCATTCTGCTCTGATCACTAGTCTGTCCCGACACCTGATGACTGAGCGGTCAGGCCCTGGCTCTGCTGGAGGTGGCAGTGGCCCTCAGGCCAGATAAATGGGCACTGCTGTCTTAGTGCAAACAACAGACCTCGGGGTCTCTCACTCCCAGACAGAGAAACAGGCTTCCATTCTACCTGTTTGATTTTACCATTTTATGTATTTGAAAGGCAGGGAGAGGGATATAAAGAGGTCTGCTTTCTGGTTCGCTCCTGAATGCCTGCGACAGCCAGGGCTGGGCCAGGTAGAAGGCAGGAGCCAGGATCTCTCTCCAGGTCTCCCGAGTGGATGGCAGGAGCCTCACTATTTGCGCCATCAGTGCTGCCGCCAGGAGCTGGAATCCGATGGAACTGACTGTGCTGCGCTCTGATACGGGACGCAGGCTTTTCGAACAGTGCCTTAATCGCTACACCAGATGTCCAACCCCAATCATTTTATTTGCAAAATTCAAGCAGAGAGAGCCCTGCCATAATTAATATGGAAAATAGAATTATCTAAAAGTTTCATAATTTATTTCACTCTAAGAAGAAATATTGAACTTTCGCTTCAAGGTGAAAGTTTGCAAACAATCATGGCATTGACTGAAGCTCCCAACTCCAGGGCGTCTGCTGGAAGCGCACGGCTTAGTCCACTCCGCCAAGTGAGTGGGAGCAGCGTGGTGATGGCGTGAACGCAAGGCCTGACGGGACAGTGTTATTTGCAGCAAGCACTGGAGAGGTTGAAACCCAAACCCTGATGCAGGCACCCATGTCGCACAGGACCTCCTCTCAGCCATGAACCACGCAGGAGTAGGAAGCCTCTGTGTGTCTTTCAGCGTGAGACGCCTTGTTCAAGATGTCCCAAGCAACAAATGAGAAAATCAATTCATAGCTGTGTTCAGCTTGAGTCCAACAATGTGCAGCCCCCACGGCTGACCTGTGAGGAAGAGCGTTCGCTGCAGCTGTCCTTGACTTGAGCAGGAGCAGCTGCTCTGTTTGATGGCCTCAGAAGGGAAGAGACCAGAGCACACCACGTCACTGCAAACCCCTGCGCTTAGTGTGTGCCACCCTTCTCAGGACGAGTCTGCTCCTCTGCGTGTGGGGAGCCTTGGTGCTGTGTGACATTCTGGGCCGACGGCACATCTGCGATACCCCAAGCACCCAGGAGAAAATCTCCCTCCTCCAGGGGATCTGCCACCTGTACATTGACTCTGAGTGTGCCCATGTGCCCCCATACTGCACCTCGCACTTCTTGCTGGAGTCACAGCCACAGACATTCTGTGAGATGAGAACTCATTAGAGTGGGTAAATTGCTTTTTTAGAAATTTGAATTTGCTCTTGGATTTTGCAAGCCTGTGAAGAATTCCAGAAGGAAAACCAAGAGATAAATAAGTGCATAAACAAGTAAGCCATAAGTAACATCCTCAAGACTTTGAAAAACAAGAACAGAACACCAGTGGATGTGTTGTGATGATATGTGTCATTGGAATGCATCCTGGGTTTTCTGTAACTCACTTTTAACCTTTTAAACCTGGCTTGGAAGGTGTCAGGCCACATCTACAAACCATGCAAGTGTTCCTTCCACTTCACTCAGCACAAGTGCGAAGCCGTGTTCTGGCCCCCAAGTCAGAGCTGCCCTCCCGTTGCTCCTACCTGGTCGGCCGTCCTGCTCTGGAATCTTTCAGAAGGTCTGCCTTCAGTCTTCTCTGGGCACCAACACTGCCTCTTCCATCAGACTTTCTATACCCCTTTGTACTGTTTTTCGTTGTTTCAAAACACACAGCAGGCATAAATCACATTTTTAAATTTTTTGTAAAAGGCATTTTTTTATTTAAAGGCATAGAGGTACACAAGCAGAGATCTGCTTTCTGCTGGTTCACTCCCCAGATGACTGCAATAGCCAGGGCTGGGCTAGGCTGAAGCCAGGACCCCAGGACTCGATCTGGATCTCCCACAAAGGTGCCAGCGACCCAACCACTGGAGCCATCACCCGCTGCCTCACAGCGTGTGCATTAGCCAGAGCTAGACTTGGGGACAGAGCTGGAAGTGACTCAAAGCCAGGCTCTCTGGTGTGGGCATGGGCCTCCCAAGTGGCATTTCAACCACTGTGCCAAATGCCAGCCCCATTTTTAGAGTTGTTTTCCTCCATAGAATGTAAGCCCAAGGAATACAAATGTGTTTCCTTCTTTACTCAACTAAACCTGTTCCCCAGAAGAGGCTCTGACATGTGGTTGGCTGCCAAAAAGCCTTTATTAAATGGAAAACTTGCATTGACAGAATGAACGAGGAGCACATGATAGTTGATTTCATCTGTGTGGTTAACATTTGAATCAGAGCAAGGTTTGAAATAGCCTTACAAGTTTGGTGTGCTTGTATCCACATTTGATTTCAATGCAGTTTTAATGAGAGAAGGTTGGAGTCTTAAATCTATCCATTTGTTTCATAAATGAGTCTTCACATTCTTTTAAGGGAAAGAATATTCAAATGGATTCTACTGATTGAAAAGTTCAGTGAGGAATGAACTGTCTTATCACTCATGGTAAAAAGCATCCAGGTAAATGTAGTTGGTGTTCACGTTTTGACAGTAGCTACTGCACATGAGAGACTGGACTTTCCCAGATGTTCTATTAATTATAGTGTTTATGTCGTCAGCACATCTGTGTAGCCATGGGCATGCCCTGAAAGACGGTAAATTACAGACCTTCCTCTCTAGTTTGAATTGCAGTTTTTGTGGCTTTCATAATCGGATGCTGGATGAATTGAATACGTTTGACACTGTTTATAAAAACAATGTTTAGACCAGCAAAAAGAATGCACTTGTTGGTTCTCTAAACTGTGGGGCTAATGGCAGCATTCTTTGCTTATTTCTTTTGATGGTCTCTTTGCTTTTGTCACCCACAGAAATTGACAAGGGAGGATGTGGGGACCCTGGAATCCCTGCCTATGGGAAGCGGACAGGCAGCAGCTTCCTCCATGGAGACACGCTCACCTTCGAGTGCCAGGCAGCCTTTGAGTTGGTGGGGGAGAGAGTCATCACCTGTCAGCAGAACAACCAGTGGTCCGGCAACAAGCCCAGCTGTGTGTGTGAGTGTCGCGGGGTGCTGGCAGGGAAGATGGACACAGCACCAGGGCAGGCAGCTCGGGGGCAGTGCCTCCTCCACCAGACACACACACTCACAAATGCGGAGGTGCACACACGAGGTACTCACACACAGGTGCACACACACATCCACACACATACAGGCAAGGCCACCTCCGGCACCAGCTTCCCAGCTCTCTTCTCTTACAAGGCATCCTAGACAGAGTGCAGGGGCCCTGACTCCCAGGAGGGATGGGACTCTCTGCAGGCTTCCATCCAGGCCTTGTGGTTATGGCCCCAGAGCTTCAGCTCAGCTCCCAGCCTCAGGGCGCACCTGCAGCCAGGGAAGAGTGGCTGCCTCCTCCTGAGGACAGTGTCTCAGCAAGTAGAAGAGCAGACGTCTTCACACTCAGAAAAAAGGGATCTTTTCGTTAGTAAATAAACAGCCAATAGCTGGAAAACTTATGTGAAATCTTGTGGAATAGGAGGAAAGCCATGTTCTAAGATAAATCTGGGAATTGCTCTTTCCAGATTAAATAATACATATTCTCTCTCTCTCTCTCTCTCTCTCTCTCTCTCTCTATATATATATATATATATTACATATAAGATACATACACACATAATTTATGTGTGGTTTTAAGTACACATTTGTAGAAGTAAACTTTCCAAGAGATTTTTATGTTATGCAATTAGAGCATGGTCTGATTTCATGAATTCTTTATTTATCTTTGTAACTAAAAAAAGGGGATGCACTTTAGAGGAAAAATTGCTGAAAGGCACACTGAAGGAACACGTGAAGGATTCAATGGAATGCTATCGTAGAAGAACAGACTAGATCTTTCCTAGCCTTTCTTGCTAATATCGTTCTCTGTAGGCAGAGTTACAACCAGAAGTTAGAATATTAAGTGCATGTTTTCAGCCAGCTTGAAAGGGCCATTTGAAGCAAAGTCTGCAGGTAATTATGGACGGGCTGTGGCTGGGGTGTGTAAGACGATGGCATATTCTGTTTACAGTTTGTGGAAAGAGACACTGCCACGCTCCAGGACGGCCAGTGCGGAACTGGCTAGGCCGGCGTCGCTGTGTGTACGTGTGGGGCCTTTCTCAGCTCTAGCAGTGTTTTTCATGGCACCTCTTGGGAGATGTGTGGGACTCTCTGAAAGCATACTTGTGTCTCCACAGTTTCTTGTTTCTTCAACTTTACGGCATCATCCGGCATTATTCTCTCACCAAATTATCCTGAGGAATACGGTAACAACATGAACTGTGTGTGGCTGATCATCTCTGAGCCAGGGAGTAGGATCCACCTCATCTTCAACGATTTTGACGTGGAGCCTCAGTTTGACTTCCTGGCGGTCAAGGATGACGGCATCTCTGACATCACCGTCCTTGGGACGTTTTCTGGCAATGAAGTGCCTGCCCAGCTGGCCAGCAGCGGGCACATTGTGCGCTTGGAGTTCCAGTCCGACCACTCGACCACAGGCAGAGGGTTCAACATCACGTACACCAGTGAGTGCCCATGCACAAGCACCTGTCTCTTCTGTTCAGAGACTCAGATATCAGGGCTTGGATTTCAAGACTGATAACTCCAGTTGCCATGTAATCATTCCAGAAATAATGGGAATAGCAAAACCTACAGCATTACCCTGATAGCCTGGGAAAAATGTCACTCTATTTAGGGTAGTGTGTTGGCCACCCTTGTACTAGGGGACCAGGTCTCATACATGATTTCTCTGTCTCTATGGTTTTCCGTGTATCAGTCCATCTGCCCATCTATCTGCACATCTATCCTCCCTTCTCTCATTGCATTGTTTCATCCTATCTGTCCATACCTACCCCTGTCCATTCGTCTGTCCATTGCATTGTTTCATCCTATCTGTCCATACCTACCCCTGTCCATTCATCTGTCCATTGCATTGTTTCATCCTATCTGTCCATACCTACCCCTGTCCATTCGTCTGTCCATTGCATTCTTTCATCCTATCTGTCCATACCTACCCCTGTCCATTCGTCTGTCCATTGCATTCTTTCATCCTATCTGTCCATACCTACCCCTGTCCATTCGTCTGTCCATTGCATTGTTTCATCCTATCTGTCCATAGCTACCCCTGTCCATTCGTCTGTCCATTGCATTCTTTCATCCTATCTGTCCATACCTACCCCGTCCATTCGTCTGTCCATTGCATTCTTTCATCCTATCTGTCCATACCTACCCCTGTCTATTCGTCTGTCCATTACATTCTTTCATCCTATCTGTCCATACCTACCCTGTCCATTCGTCTGTCCATTGCATTCTTTCATCCTATCTGTCCATACCTACCCCATCCATTCGTCTGTCCATTGCATTCTTTCATCCTATCTGTCCATACCTACCCCGTCCATTCGTCTGTCCATTGCATTCTTTCATCCTATCTGTCCATAGCTACCCCTGTCCATTCGTCTGTCCATTGCATTCTTTCATCCTATCTGTCCATACCTACCCTGTCCATTCGTCTGTCCATTGCATTCTTTCATCCTATCTGTCCATACCTACCCCTGTCCATTCATCTGTCCATTGATGCAGCATCCATCCATCCACACATGCATCCATCAATCATGAGTCAATCATCCAGCCACCAATCCGTTCCCCTGTTCATCCTCATGCAGTAAAATAGTATAGTAAGGAGGACTGAAGCACTTGAGGTCAGGAGCCGAGTATTAGAATGCCAGGATTTGAATGTCCCGAGTGAATTATGACAAGGAAGCTATTTTCTCTTATTTAAGATTTTTACTTGAGAAACATTTTATATAAGAACATCTACTTAAATTAGTGTTAGATTTAGAATATCCCAGTAACCATTGTATTCAATATGTAGTAATTCTGAAATTCAGGCTCAATATTTCTTTCAGTTATGTTTAAATAAAGATACTTAGGTTTAAGTCATGGGGGGGGGGTTGCCCAATGTCCAATAATGAACAGAAATGCCAGTAATCTAACCCAGATACACACTGAAACAGAATGCTTTCTGTCACCAGCGAATTCCCTTTTCTTTTGCTGAGTCAGATGGAAAGTGCCTCTCCAATCATCAAGTGCTGTAGAGATGGCAATTACTTCTACCCAGCTGTTCTCTCTGACTCGTTCTCTCAGTATTGATACTCGAGTTGTTTAATGTATGTGTCACCTATGAAAGATGTCCCTGAAATCTAGGACAAGAACTGCTTCATAGGTTGTGTTTTCTTCTCATTTAATACATGTAACTGATACTCAGCGATTTTAATCTACTTCTCTTTTCTTTCTTCCCCTCCGCAGCTTTTGGTCAGAATGAGTGCCATGACCCTGGCATCCCTATTAATGGACGGCGTTTTGGCGACAGGTTCCTGCTTGGCAGCTCTGTCTCCTTCCACTGTGACGACGGCTTTGTCAAAACGCAGGGCTCTGAGTCCATCACCTGCATCCTGCAGGACGGGAACGTGGTCTGGAGCTCCGCGGTGCCGCGCTGTGAAGGTACGGTCCCTGTCCTTGCCCAGCGTCCTCCTTGAAATCACCCGTCTGTCTTCCTACACGGTCAGCCAGTCGTACAGACAGTCGCACCGTGCTCACGCCCCAGGGCTCGGCAGCACACAGTGTGGCGGGCGAAGGTTCCAGTGTAGTCAGGCTGTCTCCTCCTGAGGCGGGGAGGGGCACTGTGTCCCACCTCTCCTTCTGTTGGCTTGCCACTGGCCTTTGTGGCCCCTGACCGTGGCCTCTATCCACGAGTGCCTGCCCCTCTCTGCGTTCATGCCTGCCATCTTCACAAGGACGACGTCATCCTGGGCTACATGTCCCTCTAGGCAGTGTCTCCAGGACGTCTGCAGTGGCCCTGTGACCGCACACTCTCCACTTCCTCAGTGCTGGGTATCAGCATGTGAGACAGGAACTTGAGACGACACAGTTCAAGCTGTAGCAACAAGTTAGTTTTAGTTAGCACCTCTGTTACCCTTATGGCATTTAAAAAAAAACGCTGCATACCTTCCTTCTTGCTGTTTCTGCTCTGGTTACTTACATAATAAAACCAGAAAGAAACAACTTAACAAGGATGTTGTCCCTGATTAGTCCTCATTTCAAGGTGCTCACTTAGGATGCATAGCCGTACCCTACCTATCACAGCAGTCCATACACAATGAGCTAACGACCTGTTTTTAAAAATGCCCTGTCTTGCATCCGTTACCATGAGGCTGTTTAGCAGATGCGGGAGGAGCTGCGGGGTTAGCGAGTACCTCAGTGCAGCCAGTGGAGAAGGCAGCAGAGCCCAGTGGAAGGAAGTCAGATGAAAGGGGAAAGGATCCCAGAAACAGGCACCAGCATTGCTTCCATTATTAGGAAGAGCCCCACGGGAGCAGCGCAGAGCAGAGCCCAGCTATAGGTTGTTAGTGAAGAAAATCCTTAACGGAGAGGAATAATTAATGGTGAAAGATTTGAAACTACCCTGCCCCGAGAAACCCAATTACCGAGCACAAATAAGTCTCTGAGAGATTAGGTTGATGCTCTGATCGTGTGACTAAATAGGTTCCCCAGTCAATGTACCTGCTCAAAAGAGAGCTGCTACTTTTGGAAGAAGATCTGCTAGGAAACAAAATCTAGTGGTAATGAAGAAGTGAGTCATGGAAACCGAAGCTGGGTTTAAGAGGTGCAGGAAGAACTTCACACCACCTAGAAAATGCACATTTACTGTTTTTAATCAATCCTATAATGGGCCAGAAATGAACTGTAAAGAATTAAAGTGGGTATAGGTCACATGCTCTGGTAAGTTTTAAGGTGAAAGGATATTTAAAAAAAGTGAAAAATGGAATTAAAAGATAAGTTTTTTTGGGTGAAAAAATGAAAATCCATGCATACAAGATGCTTTCAAAAATTCATGAAAAATGCATATTGTAAAACTGTGCAGTCTTTCTAACTTTGGCACCAATATGTGCTTATCACTCAGTTTCTTTTTAATGTGCCTTTTTGAGGTACCTTTTTGTAAGTATACAATAAAAAACTATCAGCAAACGTCTAAGAATCAAAAATGTTATTCTAATGAACTGTGTATTAAAGAGAAACTCACACCTTAAATCCAACAGTGCCCGAAAACCCGGGGCGGGGGGGAGTCCTTTAACTGAACAGCTGGGCAAGATACGCACTTCCAGTGCCTCCAGTGTTGGGCAGAAGGGCAAGCAATGGCTCATTACAAGAAAGACAAAACAAAAATTAGTTTCAGTGTGAAAGTAATGAATGTCAAATGTGCAGGCATTGTGGCTCAGCGACTTAAGCCACTGCTTGGGGTACCCACCTACCATTAGGAGTACCTGGTTTGATTCCTTGCTGCTCTGCTTCTGGTCCAGCTTCCTGCTAATAACCTGAGAGGCATCTGTTCATGACTCAAGTTCTTGGACCCTGCACCCATGTAGGAGACTCAAATAGAGCTCTGAGCTCCTGACTCTAGGTGGGCCCAGCCCTGGTTGTTAGGGGCATTTGGGGAATGAACCACTGAATGGAAGATCTGACATCTCCCTCTCTCCCTCCTTTCCCCTCCCTCTTGCCCCACACACAACTTGGCCTTTCAAGTAGATGAAAATAAACAAATAAACATTTGTTTAAACTAAAGGTAAAAATAAAACAGAAATAATGAAGCAAGAATTGGGGCTACTTTTTTGGTAACCAATAAAATAAATAAATCATAAATGAGTCTGATAAAAGAAATCAGGGGAGAAGGAAATTACAGATATTCAGGAAAATAAAAGATAAATGATCATTATTTAAAAAATAATAATACACCTACATAAAACAAAAAGGCTCCCAGCAAAATGATTGAAGATAAAAAGTGAGTTGTTTGTTCTGGCAGAATTTTCTATATGCCAAGCACCTAGTGATGTAGGTTTTGTGGGCTGTTCATCCCCATCTCTTTGCCCTACCTACAACCTGCTCACATTCTTAAACAGTTTAGAGACAGCATTTAAAAGAGTTATGGAGGAGATATAACTAAAATACAAATTTACTTCCAAAAGTTCATTAAAAAACAAAAATGGAAGATAAGTTTACTTTAGTATAAAAAATTTTGGAAATCTACGTATTGTTCTTTCATAATATGGATTTTTCTATGAACATTTTAAACATTTATTGAAATTTATTTGAAAGGCAGAGAGGCAGAATAATTGAAACACAGCTGGGGGTTGGGGAGAGATGTGTCATCAGCTTGTCCCCCAGATGTCCACAACACTAGAGACTGCACCAGGCCAAGTTGGCAGTCTGGAACTTAGTCCAGGTCTCCCACATGGGTGGCAGGAATCAGCTACTGGACCTGTCACCTGCTGCCTCCCTGGCAGTCTGGAACTTAGTCCAGGTCTCCCACATGGGTGGCAGGAATCAGCTACTGGACCTGTCACCTGCTGCCTCCCAGGCTGTGCATTAGTGGGAAAGGAGAACTGGAAGCAGGACTCAAACCCAGGAGCTCTGATATAGAAGGCAGGCATCCCAAGTAGCCCTTAACTGATACACCAGATGCGCACTGAACATTTTAAGGACCCTTTACATGTATGGATTCCAAAGGCTTTTCATAAAAAGTTCATTTGATTTTTAAATTCTACTGTTCTGTGAACTTTTTTGGTAAGTTTTATTTTTTATTTATTTGAAAGGCAGAGTTATGGGGAGAGGGGGCCAAAGAGACATATACCATCTGCTGGATCACTCTTCAAATGGCCACAATGGCTAGGGCTGGGGCAGGAGCCTGGAACTTCCCACATGGGTGTCGCAGGGGCCCAAGAACTTGCGGCATAGTCTGCTGCTTTCCCAGGTGCATCAGTAAGGAGCTGAATCAAAAGTGGAGCAGCTGGGACTTGAACCAGTGTCCATATGGGTTGCCTGCCGGCCTCACAGGTTGCAGCTTAACCCACTGCACCAAAATGTGGGCCCCTCTATGAACTTTTCGAAGTGCCTGTGTGTATCAACTCTGTAATAACAACTTCTAAAGTCCAGATTTCTGATTTTCTTGTGAAATGTTAATTTCCAAAGGTAACTCAGATACAATGTGAGGAATGTAAATATGTAGCTTATTATAGAAAGTATTTGAGAAAAAAATATTAAAGATTTGGCATTGAAAAAGACAGGTACCACAGAGGTAAATAAGTAAGTTGTTTGGTGTACAGGGGAGTTAGTGTTGCATGAGCTCCAGTCATGGAAAAGACACCTGTCTTCCCCTGTCATATTTCATGAAGCCAGTCTTAAGGAAATGCAGCCAAGTCAGATAGCCACATCAAAAATAACTTTATAGGGAAAGGCCTACAGATACATGTAATTGAAGGGACTCACTTTCAGCAATACAACATTGGTGAATCCACCACTATAATTTACATCCTCAGAACATCAAAAGAGAATTTTCACTCTAATGACCTCTGGTATATTTGCTTTTTTGTTGTCAGCTGCATGAGAGTGACCATCACTGGTGGCATTACCAGACCCTCCCAGGCTCTGTCATGGGGACTTCTCTCCTTGGTCCCTATGGTTTGCTGGAACTTGGAAAGGGATATGGCCCATCACGTAGATGTGGAAGTGAGGGACTCAGTGTCCACAGCCTGCAGTTGCTCGTGGAGTCCTCCCTCCACCTGCCCTAGGGGCTGTGGCTCTGAGCCCCTACATCAGAGTGAGTATGAGCCGTGAATCCGGCTGTCAGGGCTACTGGAATTATGGAGTTCTTGTTAGCTCCGCGTCACCTAGCCTAAGCTGACAGTATTCCTACTGCCCCCCAAGGGCCCCGTGGAGTAGTTAGAGTCTGCACTGTCTCTGGACACTGTAAAGTGATATCACACAGAGGCAGAGCAGTAAAGTTACAAGACACAGGTGAAGGGAAGTTCATGCCTAAATAGTTGCTGGTGATGTGTGACAGTGACAGCACTTTCCATGGAACATGACCGCTCACTAAGAAAGGAACCTCTACCAAAGTAATCTGTGATTGCATGTAGGAGATAAACCAATAGGAAGTAACTCCTTCTTTGGGCTGAGAAATACTTCATGTTGTCATGTAATTTTTAAAATCCATTTCTTCCTCCATGTACAGGAGAGTGTGTTTGGATAGCAGAACATGAAATGAATAAAATTAATATGTTTAACTTTACTTATGCAAGACTTTAAATGTAAGTTGTTATATTACTAAAAGGAATGCAGAATCAAATTCTGTGTAGTGCTTAACCTAAGTGGCTATATGATTATGTAGCATGCAAATAAAATATAAGGAATTATCCACTGAATTACTAACATTAATTTGTAAAAATATATTGATTTTAAAGTTATCATTATGTAAAATCAGATGTTCTTCAACTCAAATTCACACATTTATCTTTGCTTTCTTTTGTAACTATAAAGTAATGCCTATTTGTAGAACTACCTCTTGCCACATATTTAATAAACTTATCAGGAAACATGTAATCTGTGAAGCAGTCACCCAGTGTCACACTGTTTGAACAGTTGTGAATTTCCCTGCCCTTTTCCCTGAGTGGAATTTTTCTTTCAATTGATTTAAATTACACCCTATGTACAACTTTTACACTGATTTCCAAAAATTATTCCATTATAAATATTATATCAGTATAATGGCACATATTGCCACTTTTCCATAAAAAGTAGGACTTTGCTAAAGGAGATTCTTTAGTATATACAGAAGATCAATTTAGTATATATTAAGGAAAGATTTCAACAGTTTGCACCCACACAGAAACACAAAGTGTAAAATACTGTTTGAGTACTAGTTATAGCATTAATTCACATTGAACAACACATTAAGGACAGAGATCCTACATGGGGAGTAAGTGCACAGTGACTCCTGGTGTTGACTTAACAATTGACACTCTTGTTTATGGTGTCAGTAATCACCCTAGGCTCTTGTCATGAGTTGCCAAGGCTATGGAAGCATTTTGAGTTCGCTGACTTTTGATCTTATTTAGACAAGGTCATAGTCAAAGTGGAAGTTCTCCCTTCAGAGAAAGGTACCTCCTTCTTTGATGGCCCCATTCTTTCCACTGGGATCTCACTCACAGAGATCTTTCATTTAAGTCTTTTATTTTATTTTATTTTTGCCAGAATGTTTTGGCTTTCCATGCCTGAAATACTCTCATGGGCTCTTCAGCCAGATCCAAATGCCTTAAGGGCTGATTCTGAGGCCAGAGTGCTATTTAGGACATCTGCCATTCTATGGGTCTGCTGTGTATCCCACTTCCCATGTTGGATCATTCTCTCCCTTTTTTATTCTATCAGATTAGTATTAGAGAGAGAGGGAGAGACAGAGAAAGAGATCTTTGATCCACTGAATTACTCTCCAAATGGCCATAAGCCAGGAGCCAGGAGCTTCCTACGGTGTCCCATGTGAGTGCAGGGACCCAGGCAGTTGGGCCATCTTCTGCTGCTTTTGCTGGTCATTCACAGGGAGCTGGATTCAAAGTGGAGCAGCCTGGTTTTTGAACCAGTGCCCATATGGGATGCTGTCATCACAGGCAGTGGCTTTACTCAATATGCCACAGTGCTGGCCCCAGGAGGTTATTTTTTTTTTTAACTAGCACATTTTCATATGTTTGATTTGATATCTGTAGTTTTACAAGAAGTATTTCCAATAGCAACAAGCTTTGAGAAAGAAAACAAAATCTGGAGAAAAAGTGTCTCCAGGCAGAAATGTGTGCAATTGTGGTATTAAATATAGATATTTCCTGACATGATCCACAGGTGCATAACTGGTTTCATTGCGCCCTAGGCACACACCTCTCCCTCTCGCGGTCTTTGCTATTATGGATGTTGTTTGCTGCACACCTCTTCAGAAGGAGCAACAAAGGCCACTTCTGTACTTACTGAATCTGGCTGAAAGCTGTTTTGTTTTGTAACATTCATCCACAGTTCCATTTGTGTGGGGCAAACCATTTTATTAAAATGAATAACCACACACACACACACACACACAGCCCTCATAGTGCTGAAATTTTATAGGTGAGTTTACTAAGCTGGTGTTTGTTGAGTTCCACATGCATGTGAAACAGGTGACAGTGTTGTGTTCGTCTGGAGGTCACTGTGACTCGAAGTGAGAGCATTCGTGTTAAATGGTTCAGCACAGAGAAGCTCTAGGGAGAGCGCTTGGCGTGGCTTCATGATAAATGCCACAGGTGGAATGCAGAGACCTTGCTTTCAACGAACTCATGGCTTTGGGGCATGAGTTTTGCTTTCCTACTTGTGAATGGCCGATCGGTGAGCACAGGAGTGGATTCCTGCCTTCTACCGACCTGTTGTCACAACCTGCCTCCCCCAACCTCCACTTTGACTCTCAGATGCTCTGTCTCCTTTCAGCCCCCTGTGGAGGACACCTGACAGCTGCCAGTGGAGTGATTTTGCCTCCGGGATGGCCGGGATATTACAAAGACTCTCTAAATTGTGAATGGATCATTGAAGCCAAACCAGGGCACTCTATCAAAATCACTTTTGACCGGTAAGAAAAGAGCTTTTCTTCCTCCATTTGGGCCTCAGGACTGTGTTGTTTGCAGGTGAGGGTGTGAAGCTTAGAACGATGACCGCTCTTCATTGGTTGCCCAGAGGAGCTCACTGAGCAAGCAGCAGGCACCCACTGCTGAATTTTGGTCTTGAATGTTGCCCACGAAGCCCACAGCCATCCCTGCCCTGCAGGCTGATGGGGAATCCCAGGTGACCGCTCCCTGGGGCTGGCCTGAGTCTGACCTGTGTTTTGGACCTCTGCTGGAAGCGATCCCGCGTGTTGTCTCAGTGCCCCTGGTGGCACCTCTGGCCATTGGGCCCCTGAAGACCCTCTGCAGCAGCAGAGACTGGTCCTGCCTGGTGACGCCTGCTAGTGCCTGCAGGGATGACAGCAGGTGAATACCACAGGTCACTCACCTGTTAACCACCTAAGAGTGATCCCCTCCCTGGAACGTGCATCTGATAACCCAACACAATAAGCCTGAGAGTCGATTTCTGCGAGATAGAATGTGCCCATTTGTGTCAACATTGAATCCCATGGATGACTGGAAAGTAAAAATGCTTTAAACTCAGGAAATATTTTGTTAGGGTTTCAAGCTTTATTTCTGAACACTGGGCTGCCTCTAACAAGGAACTTCTCGTTACTAGACTGTGTTCATTGTGTTAGTACTCAGGATGTTAGAGTTTACCCACAAAGGTGGACAAATTACAATATTTTCCTTTTGTCCTCAAGTAATTTTCTAACAGTCAGTGACCATATCAGCAGAGGGATGTTCTTCACAGGAGCTGTGTTATCTTTATCACAATTTCTATTTAGAGTATTACTGAAGTTGCTGCTTACCCGTGTGGGATGCTAATAATACCTAGTAGGATAATTTCTAAGAGGAACCAACCAATTTTGGTTTATGTATCCACTATATTGGAGAACTTATTTCTGCAAATATTTGTAATCATAAGGAATATTAGTAAACTGTAGATATTTAATAAGTTAAATTTGGATTCCTATTGATTTTTACATGCTCTGGCAGTGAGAGCGGCGGAAGCTGATTCCTAGCAGGGCGTCAGGTTTCAGCCAGTCGCTAAAAGCAGCGATTTTGAATTCTTGTTTTGCACAATTCCGTAGCCCTCCTGTGTCAGTTGCCTGAAGAAAGATGCTTGCTCAGTGTTTCCCGTTGTTTCTTTTTCAGCATGATTTCACTCGGCTGTTTTGCTAAATTCATTTCTGGGTACCTTGTATTCCCAATATATTTTGAGTTTGAGGTTTTTGTCTCAGCTACAGTGCACAGCTCTCCTACAGCTGAACTGCACAAATGCTGTTAGCGTGCAGCATGGCCTGTGAGCCGACATCCTCGTAAGTGATGTGTCCGCTTGCACAGATGCTCGGTCCCGCGTTAGTGGGCCAGCTTGTCCGGTAACGAAGAGCTTCAGACTCTTCTGTGTCTGAGGTTGCCCCAGAAACCTTCCTGCTCTCACGAGGTGCACCTGTCAGTCAGGGATGCCACTGCTTTGGTGACAGCCGATTGAATGAGAGTAGCTTCCTGCTTGTCTAGGCTTCTTGAGTTCAAACCCAGACAATGACGAAATTAGAGTCTTTAAAAGAGACTTGGAGTAGTGAAAGTCAAGGCTGGCCCTCTGTGACCCTGCCACACCAGCTGTGTCCTTACTCAGCCAGTCGCATGACACACAGGGTTCAAATCCTTCTTTATGAAGCATAACCAGCCTAGCTAGTTGTAATGGTAATAGAATTTGCGTGTGTTTGCACTAGGAAGAGTGTACCTGACTTAGTTGTAAGCAGGGTACAACTTGGTTAGTTGCAAGGATGTATAATTGTTGTTTAACTATTGTGGGTTTGCACTAGGAGATTGTAGCTAATTTAGTTATAACGGGGTGCAACCTATTTAGTTGTAAGGATATGGAAGCTTCCTGCATTTGCCCCAGGAGGGGTGTGCCTCAGTTATAAGGAGAGCAGCACTGTGGCCAGGGAACCAAGGGAGCTTTCCGTGTGCTCTTGACTTGGCCCTCCCAGACACGTCCACTGCAGAGCGTGGCAGCTGCCCAGGCTCCCGTGCAGGTCCCTGCTCTCAGGCACTGAGTGAGTCACAGGCTCGGGATGCTTAAGCTGCTCCCTGCGGACAAAGGCAGGCACTTGGAAACCAGGTTAGCTCTTGGGGGACAAGACGGTCCCATTTAGAAAATGATCTCAGGGCCTGGAATGGTACCTTCGTTGCATCCAAAGGTACCCAAGTGGCTGAAACTTCCTATCAGTGTAATCTTGGACCAGCTTCTCCAGAAGCGAAAGAGAAGTTAAGCAGTTTGTGGAAGCCGTTCTAACTTTTTCAGATCATTAAACTATCATTTGGTGCCTGAAGTAGCAATGCCCTGAGTAGGACTCTAGTGTGCTGGAGCTGCTGTAAGTGGAACAGGCATGGAGATTTCTTTCTTTGTGGAAAGTATCTAGAGCAGTGTCGGGCACTCAAAGTGGCCTCTTCCTTTAGGAGTCACTTCCTCCCCCCCACCCCCTTTTTTTTTTGACAGGCAGAGTTTAGACAGTGAGAGAGAAAGACAGAGAGAAAAGTTTTCCTTCCATTGGTTCACCCCCCAAATGGCTGTTACAGCTGGCGCGCTGTGCTGATCCGAAGCCAGGAGCCAGGTGCTTCTCCTGGTCTCCCATGTGGGTGCAGGGTCCAAGGACCTGGGCCATCCTCCACTGCCTTCCTGGGTCAGAGCAGAGAGCTGGCCTGGATGAGGAGCACCCGGGACAGAACCAGTGCCCCAACCGGGACTAGAACCCGGAGTACCCCCGCCACAGGTGGAGAATTAGCCTAGTAAGCCACGGCGCTGGCCCGGAATCACTTCCTTTAAGATGCCTATGATCATGTTAAACAGAGGACCAAGAAAAATAGCTGGAAAATGCAGAATCGGCCTTTAACTAACTGAGGATGGACACGTACGGAGCTGTAATCAATCATCTGTATGTTTTTCTATCTTCTGTCTGTCCTCATGTCCATCCTCTATCTGTTCTTGTATCTTCTGTGTATCCATGTATGTATCATCTATGATCTATTGTTCTATCTTCTATCTGTGCATGTATCTGTCCTATTATCTGTCTACCGATTACCTGTGATCCGTTGATCTGTTTTCTGCATGTCCACGTGTCTATCATCTATCGTCTGTCTACCCATTGTTTATCTGTTTTTTTTTTCTCTTCTGTCTGTCCATGTGTACAGCATCTGACTATTACGTGTCTGTCTACTTAACAGATATCTATGATCTAGTGATCTTTCTGTCTGCATCCTATTGATCTCTCTGTGTAAGCAATCTAATCCAGCTCACAGTATGTCTTGTAGCTTAGCCACAAACCTGTCTGTGCTGTGCTGTAGAAGAGGGAGGGACTTGGGGTGTGTGCATCTTGCAGAGAAAAGACGGGGCTTTGGTGGAGGTGATGGGCGCTTAGCAAGGTGTGGCGCTAATGCTGATGCCAACTACTGCTAACGCCAATGCCAACACCAGCGCTCACACCGGTGCTAACGCCATGGCGGCTCTGCCCGGCAGGTTCCAGACGGAAGTCAACTACGACACCCTGGAGGTGCGTGATGGGCCGGCAGGGTCGTCACCGTTGATCGGCGAGTACCATGGCACGCAGGCGCCACAGTTCCTCATCAGCACCGGCAACTTCATGTACCTGCTCTTCACCACCGACAACAGCCGCTCCAGCGTGGGCTTCCTCATCCACTACGAGAGTGAGTGGCCGCATGCTACAGACGCATTCGAGGTCACTCCAGGCGACTCAGCAGCCTCCCAGCCTGGCTGTCCGGTGGCAGGGGTGGTGTGGGCTCCTCCACTGCCCACTCTAGACACCACAACCAGGCTGCATCTCAGGGTGTGCCCCAGGCGGTACACAGGGAGGTGGCGGGAAGATGTGGGTGGCCTACGGTCCTCGGGGTACACAGCCTATGGGGAGGGAGGAGAGAGGATGAAAGCCCAGCCTAGTCATGCCACATGGTGGTTTCTGCAGCTGTCATTGCTAAGGAAAACCACTCTGGGTGATTGCTAAGATGGACTGGGGTAAGTGACCCTCTCCGTTTCCGCTTCCCGAGCTCAAGACTGGACTTCTGAACCTGTGAGATCAGCTCACAGCATCTACCGGTGATGTTTGCCGCATGGGAAAACATGTCCAGGGGGTCTCCTGGACACACGTCAGTAGACCACCAAAGCTAGGCCAGCCCCCTGTACAGGCCCGGCCCAAGGCCTGTCTTGCAGGACCTGTATTCCAGGATAAGTAGCATGCACTTTGACCTTCCCTTTAAAGCATCGCAGATGTGCAGGTGTGCACATGGGATTGTACGTGCTGGAGTTTCAGTCTTGTTTCTCTGTTCCTGACTTTTCCCCACACATCCTCTTCTGCTCCACAGGTTAACCTCTGCCGCCCCTCACCTGGCACAACCAGTTAGTAACTGCTCTGCTGCACACACTCACATTAGTGTTGTAGGCGTATGTACGTGTATACACACGTAAGGTCATGTATGGATGTGGATTAAGAGAATAATATTATACTCACATTCTAATAGCAAGAAGTTGGCTTTTAATGACTTCCAGAGCAATACAAAGTTCGGTTCAGCACCATTAGTCATGCTTCCACATACACATGGCACTCACCTCAGTGTAAAATGGAAGACCCCAAGCGTGTCCTTTCTCATGCTTCCACATACACATGGCACTCACCTCAGTGTGAAATGGAAGACCCCAAGTGTGTCCTTTCTTACTGCTTTTTCACATGCCTTACGTGACTTTTCTTTGGTGCAACAGCATATGTGCTCTGCAGCCATTTGCGTACGTGAAACCCCCAAATGCAGAGGAGCTTGGCCCTGTCCTCTGTCAGCTCTCCCCCGCCCGGCCATGCTGTCCGTCCTTGGATGAGTGCGTGGAACATGAGTGGGTGAAGCAAGAGGACAGCATTGCTGGTGACCAGGGCGCACTTTTCCTCTCCTGTCCACTGAGTAGCTGTAGGTCACCGTGCCTGCCTCGTGTGCCTCGGAGGCCACATGCAGGCGGGAGGATGTGACTCACTCACTTACCTCCTTTAGGGAAGCAGCTGTCCTCCTCATGCATCCTTCCTGGAGCACCAAGTGGTAGGAAGTCTGTGCACAGCTCCCGTGCAGCGTTCCATCCTCACTAACATCAGAGGAGGCTGCTCGCGTGAGTGTGCAGCAGAGGAATAATGCAGTCGGCACCCATCCTTTGTAATCCGCAGTGACACAGGAAATAGTGTGGTGAGGGTCCCCTGATGCGCCCTGTGCATCTCACCAAGGCTGTGTCCCTCAGCTGGAGGGACCCAGTGGCAACGTACTCTGCATCAGAAGTAAGAAAACTACCAGCAAGATGTGTTTTTTTTTTTTCTTTTGTGGTACAGTGGTAGCCCTGTGTCATACATTTATAGTCACCCTAGCGCTTTGGTCTTTCTTTTCCTTCCTGCATATTGGAAAAGCATGGAGGTAGCTCTGTCCATGGAAGAGAGCAGCAGTGTCTACACACCAGTTAAGACACACACATTGAAAGATCTGGTCTTGACCCCAGACTCTGCTCTTGATTCCAGCTTCCTGAAGATGAGCACCCTGGGAGGGAGCAGGTGGTGATGGCGCAGGCAATGCAGTCTCCTGTGGGAGACTCTAACTGAGTTGTGGCCTCCTGGCTTCAGCCCGTCCCAGACCTGGCTGTTGAGGGCATTCTAGGAGTGAGCCAGGGGATGGAATTCTCTCTCTCTGTTTCTCAGCTTCATAAGTGAATACATGAAGAAATGAATGAAAGAAACAAATAAAAAAGACAAGACAAGAAACAAAGACAGTAAAATACAGTCAAGTAGGAACAGTCCCCTTAGCAAGTTCTCAGAGCCCTGTGTTCTGAGGGCCTGTGGTCTGAGTTCACTCCAGACGAATGCGGCTATGATGTTTCTGTAAGAAAGGCCTGGGATTTGTACAGCAGCATCATCAGCTGGTGTTGCCTGCACAGGTGCCTGCGGGGCCTTCAAACCAAGCAGATACCAGCCCATGGGCTGCTCGCGAGTCCCACGCTGCCACCTCTGTGTGGGTGGAGAGGCTGGGGCACTCCGGAGAGCTCTGTAGCTGTCACATGGCCACCTGGTGTGGAAGGCTACTGCAGAGCAGTTGTTTCCAGTGTCACAGTGCCCTGGTTCTCCCACATGGGTGTCCTGAGTCCAGACTCCGCATGTTGTGATTCAGGAAGCTGGTTCACCGCTGGCCAGAATTCTGAATTTTTCCTCACGCGCTCAAGGTGGTTCTGAATGAGGCAGAGAGTGGATGTGAGCTGGGAGTGCAGTGAGCCCAGGCCTGATGCATGGGTCCCAGGAGATAGAACCTAGAGTGGGTGAGAGGGATGGGGCAGTGGGTATCAGCAGGAAGAGAAGGAGAAAGGCACCAGGAAGGCAGGCAGAGGAGGTGATGTGGGAACGACGATTGTACTCAACCCCTTTATGAATCTGAGTGTGCCCAGCAGCCTTGTGGAAATGTGTTCTGAAGCTGGCTTACAGACACTGGAAAAGGCTGGCATCTGCTCATCAAGACATTCTCAAAGAATCCATTGCCCGACACATGAATGACGTGTGTCAAATTCTCTGTGCCACTTGAAAATGATAGAGTTGCTCATCTCTCTTTTGTCTTTGATCATACATGGCTGGCTTTGTAAAGCTTCCTTGCTTTGCAGAACTATCATGGTCCCTCTTCCTGTCCACATAGGCCCTGACAGCCTGTTTCCAGCCAGAAAGCCTTGCCAGAATTACAGCCCCTGTGTGCAAGGCTGCTTGTGTTTGCAGAGCTGCCGTGAGGGTCGTGAGCTGCCATGAGTGGCGTTCGCTTCAGATCTGCTGTCTGAGCTCACAGGCACCAGACCGAAGCCAGTTCCTCAAGGTTCTCCTAAAAGCACATTTAGAAGCAAAGCTCTGCTCTGTGGGCTGGCTGCCTTGTGAGCCACCACTCCGACAACGTGTCCAGTCACAGCCTATTCTTGTATTTGTTCTTTGTGAGGGATGTGGCACAGTTTCTTTCTATGAACCGAACTGAGTTGTCCTTCCGGAACAATCCTTCCCTTTATTTGTTTGCCGATCTTTCACTCACTACTTCAAAACAGCTTTAATCTTATTGAGAATTGCAAATTAATTTTCAAATGCATGGAGGTCTTCCACTCAATTTTAGAGCATTCCTTGGAAATGTTCTCAAAATTATCTGTTTAAATAGTATCTGAAAGAAGAATAGGTATTCACTGTGTACAAAACATCCTATGGTGTGGTTCATACTTCATGTTATTTAAATTTTTTGAAAAGTAAAGGAGCATATTGTGTGTGTGAACGCAGATAATTTTTCTGGGATTTAGTGATGTTTTTTGCGGCCTGGTTCTCATGTACAGGTACGCACACACATTGAATGTCACCCATGCACATATATGTTGGGTATCACACACATGCATGCACACATACACACTCTATGGTGTGAACACACAAATATGTAAGGGAGAAGTGAGAGGCAGGCAAGGACTTACCTGGGAATCACATTGAAAATGTAATGTGACTGATTAGTTTCTTTTCTGTGAGTGAGTGTGTTTCACACCATTGATGTGAAAAGTGGCGATTGTGGTGTGGCATAGAAACGATGCTCAGGCAGTGGCCATCTTCCCATGGATGAGACCTTTGTGAAGGTCAGTAGCCGGGACACACCCTGCGTCCATCAAATGTGCATTGAGACATGCAGCACGTGGATGGCCTTCAAAGGAGCCACCCCTGTTCTTCACCAGGTAGCAGATGTATCCGGTCCCTTCTCCAAAGGGCAAGTGAAAGGAAGCCCATCTGTGTCAGAAAGTTCCTAGGGGCTCTGGTATAAGCAGGAGACAGAGGAACAGAACCTGAATGCTTCTCTGGTTTCAGTGGATTCCGCTGACATGCACTGTGCTTTGTACTGCCAGGGCTGGGGCCAGGAGGGAAGAGAAGGGCTGTGAATCGTGGCAGACACAGTGGTGGACGCGAGGGGCACCTGTCCTCGGCAGCTGACTTCCTTTGCTAACCCTGCAAGGATGGCACCTCCCTTGACTGTCTGCTGATTGCAGGATCTCGAGCCTGGCCTGCTTCAGGTGAATTGCAATCAGGTCTATTGTTAGGATCCTAGCAGGCGCTCCCTGTTTAGCACACGCACATGAGGGGAAGTGTGACAGAACGCAGTGCCTGGAACCCCACAAATCAGTATGGGCACCCACTGCTTTTTTTTTTTTTAATTGTTCTATCTGCACAGTTAGGAAGAGCCAGGACATATAACCCACTGCTAGCTTTAGACAGAAGGTAATGTGCATTCTTTTTTTTTTCTTTTTTTTTTTTTCCACAGGCAGAGTGGACAGTGAGAGAGGGAGACAGAGAGAGAGGTCTTCCTTTGCCGTTAGTTCACCCTCCAATGGCCGCCGTGGCTGGTACTCTGCGGCTGGCGCACCACACTGATCCGATGGCAGGAGCCAGGTGCTTCTCCTGGTCTCCCATGGGGTGCAGGCCCCAAACACTTGGGCCATCCTCCACTGCACTCCCTGGCCACAGCAGAGAGCTGGCCTGGAAGAGGGGCAACCGGGACAGAATCCGGCGCCCCGACCGGGACTAGAACCCGGTGTGCCGGCGCTGCAAGGTGGAGGATTAGCCTAGTGAGACGTGGTGCCGGCCTCCACTGCTTTTAAAAACAAGTAAATAAGCGAGCTATGAGAGAACATCCTCACTGACCGTCAGTTATGGCTTCGTGCGCTCCACAGGACCTGTCAGCAATTCTAACTTTAAAGTTCTATACTTCTATACTTTGGTTTCCTCTAATATATATTATTGTTTGTGCTGCGAATTGTGAGTAGGAAAGGTTTTGATTGAACATGGGACCACAGGTGCTGTGCATTCATGCATTATTCCCACACTGTGCCAAGCAATTCCTGTCACTGTTATGCATGGGTGAGCTGTGAGAGTATTGCTTAGTGATTGTGGAAAACCACCTCAAGAAAAGAGATCTTCTAGTTCACGATTATATTCAGGAACTCAGAGACCACTCTATTCAGCAGAGCTTCACCTTCGAGAACATTCTCCTCTCACTCTTGATGTTGCAACACCAGTCAGCCAGCATTGTGCACCCATAGTGTGTGCAAGGCACAGGTGCATCTGGGGGAGGATGTCATTAAATAGTCATGAACACCACTCTGGAGAGAGAGAGAGAGAGAGAGAGAGAGAGAGAGAGATCCATAGTGTGTACAGGCACAGGTGCATCTGGGGGGGGGGGGGTCATGAAATAGTCATGAACACACCCTGGAGAGTGTGTGTGTGTGAGAGAGTGAGAGAGAGAGCGAGTGAGCGAGATGGACAGGAAGATGCTCACGCTGCTCTGGCACGATGAAGCCTCAGCCAGGGACACCAGCAGCAGGAGCACTGATGCTGTATGGCTGCCACGACCTGTTCAGGGAAGTGGGCCTGTGTTTGCTTTTAGGAACTTGGAATGGTTGCCCAAGAAGACACTCCTGGGAAAATAATGCTGTCTATTCTTTTTATTTTCTGTATTCTTTCTTATTCATCCATTCTCCCTTTGGAAAACTTTGCTAGAATCAGCTCTACTGTATTTTACCCAGCGTTTGCCAACATAAAGGCAGAGTTCTGAGTAGTGCAGGGTCTGCACATTCTGCCAGTTTGGAGCACAAAAGGATGTTCCCAAGGCCACTCTGGGAGTGGAGAATTCTCTAGAAGGACTCAGAGAACACATGGGAATCCATGAGATCAACGAAGGGCTCTACACGTCAGAACCAGGCAGAGGGAGAGGCCTGTGGGGTGCAGCCGGAGGGCCCCAGGCTCAGGGCTTGCTGTTCTCCCGTTCTCCAGGCAGCAGCACAGCACCCAAGGCCCACTGGGCCCAGGCAGGTGCCAGCTTTGGGCTGAGACTCCTTGTGCTTTGTGCTCTGGGCTCTGGTTACATAGACACAGTTGACTGACTCAAGTTTATGAGCTGCTTCTTCAAGCTTTGGTGGGACACATGGTGGAGATCAATGATATCCCACAGATCTCTCTGTGAGACTTAATTGTCTGAAAACTGGAAGTATTTAAATATTTTCATTCCTTTTCCAGATCTTAAATCTAGTGTTTTAAACTTTACCGGGAGAGAGGTACATAAATCAGCAAGGACCATATCTCCTTCCATGGGCAAACAGTGCTATTATGTTGTTTTTTTTTATTCCTTTTTGTTCTCATCTTCAAAAATACACAAAGATATTTAAGAAAGCTTTTGTAAAATGAAATGAAAAGGTAAGTATTTTGGTCCAAACATTTTGATCCATGTATACTGGTATTAAAAACTATCCACTTCAATTGTTTTTGCACCAAGATAGAAATGATTCTCTTTTTTCCACAAACTTTGATTTATTTTTAAATTTTGCCTGTATTTATTTGAAAGAGAGAGGGTGAGAGCGTGTGAGAAAGGGTCACTTCCACTCCCCTGTTCATTCCCGAAATGCCTGCGACAGCCAGACCTGGGCAGGGTCCAGAGCCAGCAATGCAGGTCTCCCACGTGGTAACAGGAGCCCAGACACGGAAGCGTCACCACTGCCCCTGCAGTCTGCATTGGCAGGAAGATGGAGTCTGGAGCCACAGCTGGGAACTGAACCCAGAGCTCAGATTTGGGAAGTGGGTGTGCTGACCACCCCCAGTCTGAATGCCAACTCCCGAGAACTTTTTGAAATTCCTTCATGTACTATTCTAGGGAAATAATGAGAGGCAGGAAAAAAACCCTCACAATGGCAAAATTCCTAAACTTTACATAGCATTTTATATTTTTATATCTTTTAGCTTAGGGTAATTTTAGTCATCTCAAAAGTAGCTGACTGGAGTGCAAATTTTAAAACTGTATGGATTTATGGACTGCAGTCTCAGGAGATCAAGCCTCATGCACCTGGGTGTGTGCACGCATAGAGAAAGTGAAAGTGTGGCTGGCAAAATCTAGCTGAGACAAAGTGGAGAGAGAGACAGCAGAAGGGACTGAGAGAGAGAACAGAAACACGCACGCTTGTTTATTCCTGTCCACTCATTTTCCTCCCGTGAAGGATGGTAACATTCAGAGACATCAGTGTGTACTCAGGGTTGTTCTACTAGATACACTCTATAAGAGAGGGCACCAGTGAAGCTCTGTGTTTGGAACATGGCATTAGTGGGTGGCTGGGTTCATGTGCATAACGTCCAGGTGTGATCTTTCTGGCAAAGCTTTATGCTTTTGTTTCTTTTCGGGTAACCAGCAAGGCCTTCATGTGCTGTGTTTTTTGTGCACATAGGTGTGACTCTCGAGTCGGACTCTTGCCTGGACCCAGGCATCCCCGTAAACGGTCACCGGCACGGCAGCAACTTCGGCATCAGGTCCACAGTGACGTTCAGCTGCGACCCAGGGTACACGCTGAGTGACGACGAGCCCCTGGTCTGTGACCGCAGCCACCAGTGGAACCACGCGCTACCCAGCTGTGATGGTAGGTCAGGTCACTGCCGAGGCCCAGAGACGGGGTCAGTGTGAGAGTAACTGGGCAGCTGGGATGGTAGGTCTAGGTCAGGTCAGTGCAGAAGCCCAGAGACGGGGTTGGTGTGAGAGTAACTGGGCAGCTGGGATGGTAGGTCTAGGTCAGGTCAGTGCAGAAGCCCAGAGACGGGGTTGGTGTGAGAGTAACTGGGCAGCTGGGATGGTAGGTGAGGTCACTGCCGAGGCCCAGAGTCGGGGTTGGTGTGAGAGTAACTGGCATGGCAGGTGCATTTTTGATGTGCCGTGGTATGACAAGAGTCATTTCCTTGTGAAATATCATTACTGTTCAACATTTGGAGCTTGCCTACCTCATGGGCTCTACTCGGTAGAATTACTGAAGAATGAGTCAGTGAGTCGTTGGAAGTTACAGGCTATCACTCAACTTTATTCCCAAACCACCCAACGTACAGAGCACTCTTACGCACATGTTCCTTGGGTATGGCACCAATTGAAGATACCATTTGACACAGGCTGATCAATAAATGGGTCCTGGTGGTCTGGGCTGCCTTCCCTCTGGCCAGGCCCAAGCATCGGACACTTGCTCTGGGGCTACGCTTTCTGGGGAGCCCCTGCCTCTGCCCTCAGCACAGCATTTGCCTAGAGCACGGCTCTCAGGGGACCTCCTGGGCTCTGTGTGATGCCCCTCACAGACGTGCTCTTGGGACGCTCAAACACAAAGAGCACTCTTGACTACCGGCTGTTAATGTGCTGCTCCACGACACGCCGTGTACTGCAGTGGGTACCTAGAGTAAAAATGTCGCTATGGCTGTTTGGAAAAAACATGCACATTTTGTCTTTTACTGAGGAATGTAACCCCATTTTAATGCTGCTTCTCCAGAAAACCAGTGAATTTGTGTGTGTGTGTTTGTGTGAAATTTCCATTTCAGCTCTTTTTATAGATCATAAGCACTTCTTTTTATGCATACCATAAGCATTCATTAAACCTCTTGATTTCTTTCAAATGTTACATTCCCAATAACAAGGTTCCTGGGACAATTATGTGTAACTTCAGAACTCTAAGAGCCACTGACCCTTGTCACCAAATTCCTGACCAAACAGTAATGGGAACCTTGGGAGAGACCCTGGAAGTGAAGGTGGGCACTGGGGGGCTGGAGGCTGTCTCAGTGTCTGTGTGCAGTGGGAGTGGAGCAGAGCCAGCAGCCTGGGGGGTTGGGCTCTGGACAAGCACAAGGGGACACATGAAGCATCTGCAGGGCCACCCCAAGATGGGACACCAAGCATGCAGCTAGTGATGTGGACCCTGAACTGAGCGAGGCGGAGGCGGGGCACCCACAAGGTACCTGGGCTTCCCTTTGCTTTTCTTGGTAGAGGTCTGACAGAGCTCCTTTGCATGCAGGAAGTTCGCTGAGGCAGTTTTCTTTTCCTGCTGCAGGCTGGGATTCTGGTGTGTCAGCTCCATTTGCCCAGGAAACCCGCCAGCGTCCGCGTGGGTTTCACAGTATGCTGACCGCATTCTGCAGTCCCTGGTTGCCAGTGACTGTGGATACTGCAGCAGACAGGTGTAGAGACAGCGCTGCCGTGTTCCCAGTCCCCTTTCTGTTCTGTGGCTCTGGAGAAAGGGGAGGGTCTGGCTTGCTGTACTTTGTCCTCAGTCGTGATTGTGCAGCATGGGCCATGGGACCCAGCCCCATGCTCTCCTCAGAGGGAGAACTATCAGAGCCCTTCAAACAGGGGTTCTGCCTCCGTCTTCTGGAGAGATGTATGACTGTCATCACGTTTTATGTCAAACCTTGAGTGAAGTCTGAGGTAGGAGATCACCTCCATCAGCACCTAGAGAACCACGATGTGAATGACTTCATCTGGAGGAAGCACCATAATTGACATGAAACAACACAAAAGTCCCATGAAATCAACAACAGATGGCCGGCGCCGCGGCTCACTAGGCTAATCCTCTGCCTTGCGGCGCCGGCACACCGGGTTCTAGTCCCGGTTGGGGCGCCGGATTCTGTCCCGGTTGCCCCTCTTCCAGTCCAGCTCTCTGCTGTGGCCAGGGAGTGCAGTGGAGGATGGCCCAGGTGCTTGGGCCCTGCACCCCATGGGAGACCAGGAGAAGCACCTGGCTCCTGGCTTCGGATCAGTGCGGTGCGCCAGCTGCAGCGGCCATTGGAGGGTGAACCAACGGCAAAGGAAGACCTTTCTCTCTGTCTCTCTCTCTCTCACTGTCCACTCTGCCTATCAAAAAACAAACAAAAAAAACAGAGCAGACTCCTCAGCACCAGAGCAGTAGTCACATGACTCAGAAATCCAGCAAATGCAGTAACTTAAGGAAATGTTGAGAATTATAAACATTAGAGAGAGGTAATCTTCAACTTTTAGCCATAATTGTTGCATCAGTGACTGCCTTCAAGGTCATCACTGGTAGTGGATTAATACAGAAGGTAAACATATTAGAAACAGAATCAACATATGAGGGTACGCAAACTAAAAACTAGGAATGTATCTAGCAAGATATGTAAATTCTTATCTCAAAACTGTACATATTTACAGCACAATACAAAGGAATACTTTAATGCTGGGAAATAGGTAGTGTATTTCTAGAAGGAAAGAATCAAATTAAATGTAAAATTTGTGTTTGAGTATTTAAACTCTGTAAACTGATTAAATCAGTTATAATTTTAGTAGAATTTTAGAACATGTAACAACTAATCTGGAAGAATAAATGATCCAAATATATAAGAAGTACATTTCTAGGGCATTAACAGGGAGCTGGATTGGAAGTGGAATAGCAAGGACATCAACCAGTGCCCACACGGGATGTCAGCGTCAATGCTATAATGCCGGCCCCAAGACCCATTTCTTTGCTCATGCTTCAGCCGGGGCCATACTCCTTTTCCTTACCATGTGACTGGCATTGCTTTTATACTGGATGGGGTCCCATTGCTGGGGTCTTTCTCAAGGACAGAAGGTGGGAAGTACAAAATTCCTGATGCTTTCACTCACGGTCTTTGTTTCACATCTTTAAGAAGCCTGCCTCGGTCGGGTTCTGGCAGATCTGACCTCCTACTACCTTCTAAAACTTTAAAGCTGGGACCAGCTTTATCGAGCTATAATTGGATGTAGGCTGTGGATGTTTACTGTGAACAACTTGGTATCACTGGAGATGAAGGGCGTGCCCATGAAACCACTATCAAAAACGTGTTAGTCTTCCCTAGAAGTAAACGCGTACTTTCCATCTTTCACATCTGCAACTTCCATCTGCCTAAGTTATTTTGCGGGGCAAGGTTTGGTGTGGTGTCTAGATCCATTTTTTTTCTCCTAGTAAGCATGATTGTTGGGTCTGGTCACTCTTTCTCCATGACATTACCCACTCAACTTTGTCTCCTAAGTGGCCATATAGCTGTGGGTCAGACCTTTCTGTCCTTTTATTTCCTTCTTAGTAAATTGTAGCTTTAATCTAGAAACATAAGTAAAAACTAAGTAAAAGACACTGACCAACTTCACCATATACAGATTTAAAAATGTTGAACTGAAATGTAGAAAGGTTTTTAAAAAGGGTCAGACTAGGGAAAGCAATTGTAGTACTTAGGTGTTCCCTGGCCACAGTCTCCACACAACATGCATTCTAGATAACCATATCCTACTAATGGAGGAGAGGAAAAAAATCACGAACAATCCCCCAGAAATCTGTCAGGAAAACAAGTACAAGGGTGCTTCAAAAAGATCAGGGGAGAATGGAACAAAAATAGAACTATTGGAAGTGCCCCTATCAACATGCAATTCAGAGAATATGCTCCAGACGTCTCCATCTCAGCTCTGACCAGGACTCAGGAAAATTCAGCTAAAACACCCCGTCCCTGCTGGATGTGTGCCAAGTTGTAGGTAAGCCTGCTCGGCAGTCACACCGGGCAGTTCTCATGCGAGTGACCCTGCCACCTTTGTGAAACAGCTTTGGGAACTGCTTGTTGGGATAGCATGTGAACTACATGAGAAAAGCACCTCAGTGTCGCAGTTGCTCCCGGAAGGGTTGGAGCTGCTCTCATAGCTGGAGAGAAAGCTTTCTGGGGCCTGCCTTGTGGTGTGAGTCAAGCTGCCACCTTGGACGCTGGCATCCCTTACTGGCTCTGGTTTGTGTCCTGGCTGCTCCACTCCCTATCCAGCTCCCTGCCGATGGCCTGGGAAAGGCAGCAGAAGATGGACGAAGTATTTGGTCCTCTACCACCCATGTGGGAGACCCAACTGAAGCTTCTGGCTTCCGGCTCTGGCCTCGCCCAGCACCACTGTTGTGGCTGTCTGGGGAGTGAATCAGAGGATGGACAGAATCAATCAATCTCTCTCTCTCTCTCTCTGTAACTCTGACTTTCAAAATAAATAAATAAAATTTTCAAAAAGAAAAGTTAGAAGGTCATATTTTTCTGTATGTTTGTTTAGGAAGCTACACATTCATTATGCACTTAGTAGGTAAAACAATGTGCCTTCTTTAGTGGAAAATAGGAAGTCACAGAATAGTGTGGTATTTTCTTAAGTTATACAAAAATTTCAATAAGATTAATTATCTGAATGCATTTATTTGACATGCAAAGATACGGATTTATTGGATGTTTTTGTGAATTTTTGTCTTTTTGATTTTGGGCTGTAAATGAAAATGGAATTAAGAATGCAGTGAATGTTGTTCACTTGCGTTTGGTTAGGTCACTTAAAGAAGCACTAATATGGGATTCCCCACGTTGGCCACATTGCAGGATTTTTGTTGATGAGAAGAAAGATTTAAGAGTTGAAGTGCTGATCCTGCAGTGGTGAGCTGTGGGGAGCTTGCTCATCCTGGGTGCCCCCGAGATGTCCTGGCTCCTGGTTAGGTGACAACAGCCAGCATGCGCTACAGTCTTTACTAACCATTGGAGATCGATAGTTTTGTTTAATCTGGATTCTTCTCCAAAGGCAACATGAGGAGGTACCCATACATGAAAATACTCTCCATACACTCTTGGTTCATAC